GAGAGAGAGAGAGAGAGAGAGAGAGAGAGAGAGAGAGAGAGGTGAATCTCTTCGGCAATTTGGGATTTTATTAGCACCAACGGAAATTTTTCTCTGATCCATTTTGCGACTTGCTTTCTCTGCAACGTGTATCCTGGTATGATCGTATCTACATCTGCTGCATTGGTAACATATTGAGCATTTTGCTACCTTACATTTGCAAGTGAGTTTTGAACCTAATGCTTCGGACATCTGTCCTCCGAGACATGTGCAATTGTTACCGAAAATCTGGCTTTGCAAGCATCCTTATAGACATTTGATTACAATAATACCACGACTTCAGGCAAAACTTAATTCAAAAAACCAGTTGGAGTACCCGTCCCCTGGACGGAAGTTAAGTAAATTCACGATTAACGAAAACTTATCTTAGGACATGAAAAGTTGCTTCCCTTATACGTCATTGTAAAAAACGCCCATAAAAACCACAAATTTGCATGTATCTCTGCTTGGATCTAACAAACCTTCATGCCAATTTTGGTGAAAATCCATTAACAGAGAGCGAAGTAATGGTGCAAAACTGAACATTTGTATGTATCTGTCCATGGACCCAATGAACCTCCATACCAAATTTGGTGAAGATCCATCTACAGGGGGCGAAGTAGTAACAACCGCAAAACTGTAAATTTTTTATGTATTTTCCCATGAATCTCCATATCAAATTTAGTGAAGATCCATCCACGGGAGGTGAAGTACTTGTAAAAAACGCCCATAAAAACCACAAACTTGTATGTTTCTTCGCATGGACCTGACAAACCTTCATGCCGAATTTGGTGAAGATCAATCAACTGGGTAAAAAACGCAAGTTTGTTTTGAATTTCACGTAAAGTTACTCAAAGGCTATCTGCGCTAGCTATACCTAATTTAGCAGTGATATACTAAAAGGAAGGCAGCTAATCAACACCATCTGTTGCCAACTCTTTCACCAACGAATAGTGGGATTAATGGTCACTTATAACGTTCCACCCCGCAAATTGCTAGTCGAGCACCCTAATCACGTGGTTAGATGACTATGTATTATTGATGTTTTGTCATTTTATTACGGTAATGAACAGTATTGTTTCAATACAGTTATTAATAATTAACTAACTGTTTACAATTATACTTTGTGGGGTAAAAGTAACTATACAGTTCTTTCATTTAAAGCACAATTTAATTGCTATTACTCTGAAACGAATAATAATTAAATTGGTTTGTTTGTTTGTTATAAGGCACAAATCTACACAATGGTATCCACACACAGGTATCTTATCCAGTTTCTGAATCTTTTTTTTTGTCTTAAGAATTCAGGATTTCAAAACAGACAAATACTGTGAACCTTAAGAGGAAAAACTTCATTCAGATTAGCTTTTGGACCTCATGCATCAAGCTTCAAAATCAAAGGGACAAGGAATTCTGCTAGGAAAACCTATGGAGCTTTGTGGATCAAGTTTTGAACCAGGACAATTATGAGGTCATTACGCCATATGATAAGAACAAGGCTTTCAGGGAAAAAAAGAAAAACTAGAGGGTCTCATGAATCAGGGTACTTAGCAAGCCATTTGAAGAACAAGGACAATACTTTCAATCAAGTGTACCTTTTACAAACAAGGTAACCATCAGACACCCATAGAGGATCATTGAGAGTAGAATTTCAACCAAGAAAACATACAGGGCAACATTTGTCAGACCTCCAAGGCGGATCACAAAAAACATTAAGTCATTTTGGTGCACCAAAGGGAATATTTCAACCAAGACAATCTGGACCTCAAGGTAAGATTCAGAAACCAGGATTTGGGTCATGACAATAATTTTCTGAACACTGAGTCCAGATTCTACCCATACTAGTCTTCAGGAAATCAAATATTTAGTCAATCTTGCTCAAGCATCCAATAACAATGATGATGGGAAGACCAGAAACTAAATTCACTTTTTTTTTCAAGTACCCCCAATTCAAAAATCCACAGAAAATGAAACACATTTAATTTTTGAACTTCCTACTATATATATTGAAACTTTTTAAGTATTAAAATACCAATTCATGTAAATAAAAAAAAATTTTTTTTAACTTCTCAAATAGTAAAGTATACATTTTTGTCAAGCTTTGCAAAATTTGTAAATAAAGTGTTACCACTTTTATAGGTGTCTTCTTCAGAGATAACCTTTCCTTCCTCTTCAGTTTTATTTACAAACTTTCAGGACTGACACAACATTTTACTATGTCTAAATGACAGTTACTTTTTACATTTATCTGTTAAAAATGTTGGTTGAATAAAAAAAAAGTATATATTAACAATATGTTAGTAGTTATTATGTAATCTCAATTCTTAGTAATTTCACATAACACCAGGGAACTTGAAGAAATAAGTTTGGATCAATTTATTTTTCCTGTTACAGTGTACTTACTCAGATAGAAGATAACAGTTAATTCTCTACTTTAAAATATACAGTAATAACTCCTATTTCACTTTTGTAGTTTTAGCTACTGTTAAATTTTAATCTTTGGAAGAGACTTTAAACTGTACTTTTTAATCTTCATTGTTTTGAAGATGTGATTTTATATTTAAAAGAAATATTTAGAAATGACAGAAAAAGAAATACTGAAAAAGTATAAAAAAAGGTTAATAACAAAATCAAAATCTATTCATCATGTAACTTACAAATTTTTTAATGCATGTAATTATCTTTTATAATATAGGAGCTTTTAATCACTGATACACTAAGATGATAATTTTACAGCAAATATTCATTCATTAGTTAGCTAGGCTGCATATTTTATTTTACCTACCATCATACCCAAAGTTGAACAAAAAAATGTGGCCTGGCTATCTAATGAATGAATATTTGCTGAAAAATTCTTATCAATACTACAAGTGTAGCTACAAGTTTGGCTATCAATTTTCATTTCATTCCTTAAAGTCACACCTTTTTCTCACACTTATGGTGTTTCTGATTAGATGTATATAATATTAATAATAGTGCTTAAGTTATTATACCCTCTTGATGATAACTGAAATTATAAGTTAAAGTTCATGGAATCTCTCAAACATTTTAAGGTATCATATTCCAAATCTAAATGAATTTCAAGAAAATCTCATACAATTTAGAACCTATAAAAGGTTTGCTTTCAAAAGCTTAGTTTTATTCAGTACCATCTTCATGGTATCATTTCTTCCACAATGATTTCTTGCATACTTAATACACATGTATAGCTATATTATACAATTTATTTTTTATTAAAAACAAATGTAAACATCTACCTGTATATACAAAATCTCATTTAAAGAAAAAGTGTGCAATTTCTGAAAATGATGTGGTTAACTTTTGGAATACTTTCAATTATTATTATTTCTTTCAAAACTGTTTATTGTCCTTACTATATATAAGTGTTGGTGCTATGAACATAATGTAAGTAGTAATATTTAATTTTTTAAATCGTTTATTCTTCAGATCATAAACAACAATAAAAATGCATATTTCTAACTGGTAAAAATATATTTCCTTATTTTTGCCAATGTTTTTTCTCCTAACTGTATTAGATATTGATGTTTGTTCTTATTTATTAACATGTTTGTATTTTTAATCTGAACAGCACTTTAAATGCAAAGGGGTTAAAAATAAAAAGCCATATCGGAGACCTTACGGGTTCAGGTATAACCATCTGTACTTATAAATAATGGCTGTAGGAAAGACAATCAGCAGTACCTGCCAAAATAAGGGCTTTAAACCAAATAACTGGATTAACTGAACCCAGAGGTGAAAGCATGAAACATGTTTGGTGCATCATGGTGTAAACCTTAGACAATACTTGCTTTTGTAATAACATCATATTTTATATTTGACTAAAAGCTGGTAGTTAATATCATTAATTTTCTGAATCTATAAGAAAAGTCTGACTAATCTGTATTTAATATATATTAACATTTTACTATGGATGAGTAATGTAAATTTATACACGTTTGCCAAATTGAAATTCATCAATAATAAAGAGACACAGGCATACTAATAACATTGAATGATCCCCCCCCCCCCAAATGTGTTATTTCAGTGCTTAGACATTCACCATAATCTCTTAATATAAGTAACACATGGCAAAATGCAAATCTTCAAATTAATGGTTTCATCACAACTACTTATTACAAATATAAAACAAAACTGAGATTCTCTTCAGAAAGCATACCTCTTACATACCACACTATCTCTTTATTTTATTTATTTTTTAAGTGGTAGTTGAAATTTTGGTGTATATTATACTTGCTTAATGTCATATAACTTTCCTTATCTAAAAGGAAACTCCAGACAAAAATAATAACATCTGAGCAATTTCTTATATTTTAGCTATAGTTAAATAATTTTAACTGCATTCTTAATGTGGTTAACTAAGAAGTCAATCATTTGAATATTTCCTTCTGGTTAATGTACACATTATAGTCAAAAATTAAACAAACAGAATTGTAATTTACATTTTTCTTTATTTGCAACACTAGAAAAAGCATTTATATACACTGAAACACACAAGGCACTAAATTTTACAATTTGCAAGAAAAATAGAAAAAGTCAAGAATTTAGTTTTTTTTTCCATTTAACACATATCTCTCTTTTACAAGAACAGTTTACTTCTTACTAGTAAGAATGAATACATTGTTTATAAAAAGAAGTTCCATCTGAAAATAGTAAATGCATCAAATTTTGTATCACAATACTTTTTTTTAATAGTTAACAGAACAAACTACATCTATTTTCAATCAGTTAACCACTCAAATGAGATTAAACAAAGATGCAATCAAATATACAAATAATTACAAATCTACAACTTAAATCATAAGATTTTTTAATGTGTAGCCCTTAATATAAAAAATATACACAACTATTTCTTATCAATTGTATTGGCTCTATTTGTTGCTCATATTCTTAGAGCAATAGTTACATTACACTAAAAAAAATAAATTATATTTTTGAAAAGTTCATTACAGAAAAGATGACGTAAAATGCATGTAAATTAAATTATTACATAGATTAGTCAAAATTAATAGGAAAATTCCTTGAGGTTTATATAATAATATTATGTATGCAACAAAGACATCTGTTTCTTCTCAAAAAATGGAAAAAACAGTCAGAATGTAAAAAGGATAATAAAAAAAATAAGAACATTTTTAAATCTACCTAATAACCAAGTAATATGTGTGACAACATTGTAAGAAAATGTTTAAATAAAGTTTCAGCTAACTCTTCTCATGGTGCTTTATATATTTCATGAACTTGTTTACTCACAATCAAGTAAATCTACTACTGCTCAAGCACTATTTTAAAATGTATTTTAGTAATAACGATGATGCTCTTTTAGATGTTTTTCATTGGCTAATCAAAAGTGCAAGTGATGTTCTTACTTATGGCACCATTTTTAAGGTAGGTGCCAATCCATCTCTTTCATTTTCTGTACTTAAATTCAACATTTAGGAATTTTCTGGATTAATTGAAACTAACTCATTGATAGAATAGCAAAGCAGGGAAACAATATAATATACTTGAAAACAAATCCCAGTTACTGTTTCAAAATCACAAGCTACAAATATGAAAAAAAAAGAACTGTCTGGGATATAAAGAATAATATATATATATAAAGTTTCTTTTGTTCAGTCTAGTAATTCTAGAATTCCTAACCTCTCTAAGAATACTTTTTAATCTGTTCCAAAATATTTTTGTCCAAAATGATTGGGAGCACTTGAGTGAACTTCTGATGTAAGAATAGTCAAAGCTGGGAAAGTTTTCATCAATGAGATGGCAGCTAAATATCAAATGAAAAAAAAACGCTTGTTATAAAATAACATAAAATGAAATAATCAAACATATGTAACTAATTTTTTCATCTCCAGAAGAAAATCAAAATATTATTAACCATAGAAAGCCTCTGTATGAAAACAAAAATGATCCAAAATAAATGTAGATTACTACACTAATATCAACACAGTTACTGAATTATTCGTACCAAAGAAATTTTTTTGTTTTATTTGTTGATATCAAGCAAGTATCTACTGTCAGTTCAAATTTTACAAAAGGAAATATTTCATTCTCCTTTATAAAACAAAATTTTACTGTATAATTTTAATTTAATATTCTTCAAATCAAATAATGAAAATGTGTTATTATAAACTGCAAAATTATTTTTGATTACAAAGAAAATTAAATTTTCCATTATAGAACTTACCATATGGAGTACAAAACAAATTCAGCAGGAATATGTTATTTTCTAAAACACTATGTTCTTTTAAAATTTTCACTGCTTTGATAACTGTGTTTCCTGTACCTGATTAAATAAAATAAAAAAACAACCATTAAAACTTAGCATATAAATCATAAAATTATCAGTAATTTTTAATGGAAATTACTCTCACCTCCGATAAAGTCATGCCTCTGTACATAATTCATGTTATTCTCAGTGCACTTGAAAAATGTAATTAAAAATATTATTATAGTTCTATTTCAAAACTTTTTAGCTCAAAAATACTGTAAAAAATAGATATTTTAAGCATTATATAAATATCTAGTTTTTTCTCAAAAATTGTAAAAATCTTCAAACTTTCATTTCTGTCATGTTTCTATGAGTCTGAACTGTAAAGATCAAATACTTAGATTTTATATTTAGATTTTCATTTGGCTGCTTAGTTTATATTTATTTCTCCAAATCAAATGTCAATGCTTTTGATTAGCTTAAATGACATTTACTTTTTCTACAATTTATTTGACTGCAAATTTATTGATTGAGTTCAGATTCACATAATGCCTCCCATGATCATCTTGACAACTTTGAATAATTATCAGCTTTAAAAAGATATAAACCATGTAGTCAGTATGTCAGAAAGAGAGGTTCCTTACTGCTCAGTAATCTAGAATGCAATAGTTCTGTGCAAAAAAATTAGTTACATTTTATAAAGTGGTAAGCTTGGACATGGTTACAAAAAGCAACCTTAATACAAAATTTTGAAATACTTTCTAACTAATTAGAAGCATGGTATATACATAATATTTTTTTGCAGTTTTTGATAATGTTATTTTCATTCCTAGTAATGTTTTTCTGTTATATTATGTCCAATAAAGCACAAGAATATTCTTCTATAACAAGAAAATTTAAGATTAGTAAGTACAGTAACATAATCCTTCTTTGATCAGAAACTATTCAGCTTTTTTATTTATTTTATACAGTCAACTTACTGTTACTTTAAGAATACTTACAAATACTTATTATTTATTGAAAACAAACTATAATTATTAAATACAAAATGATCTAGACCAAAATTACAGTTGGTTAAAATGATAAAGGTAATAGTGTCATCATTTTGAAAAGTGAGTCCATTGGTCACTGGTTCATTTTTGTCAACCACACCTTCATTCATAGCATGACGATGACTGTTTCAGCTAAAAAAAAATTAAACATCAAGTCATAAAACTAAATACTATTTAGAAAATTTGTACCAACTTTTATGCAATTTGGTTAAGTATTTTTCAGTTTTAAACATAAAGAAAAGAATGGTGGGAGAATTCTGCATTATCTCAGTCCTGAAGAACTAAACAACTATAATTTCTGTAAGTTTATGAACTAAAACTTCAGACTATTACCTAACACTTTACTTATACATCCTTGTTAAGTAACCACAATAAAAAGACTCTTACAAGAAATTTTGAAATCCCAAAGTCTAATGTCTAACTTGAGCACATCAAAAATGCTTCAATTACACACACAAAGTTAATGTATATTTTATTATTACTAAAAATACACAAGTTTTATCCTATAAAGCAGGTGTGTGTGTGTGTGTGTGTGTGTGTGTGTGTGTGTGTGTGTGTGTGTGTGTGTGTGTGTGTGTGTGTGTGTGTGTATATTAATAATAATAATACTACTAATTAATTACTACGAAGTAGTGTGTGTGTGTATTAGTTAATTTAGTTACGTTAACGTTAAGTTTAAATTAAAACGTT